AGTTTGATTGCAGGCAGAGCCACATTGCCTTTTCAAACACACACACACACACACACACACACACACACACAGCGCTGGATAAAACTATATAAGCCCAGCTTCACTGATTACAAGTTTGAAAAGGCAACGTGATCCAAAGGCTTGGATCAGCTCGGAGGGAGAGAGAGAGGGAGGAAGGAGGGGGAGGGAGAAGAAAAAGAATGAAGGAAACTCTTTCGCAAAGGAGAAAAACAAATGCTGTCGCTTTAAATCAGAACTGAGCATGCCTGGCTGTGGAATTCTGGGAGTTGAAGTCCACAAGTCTAAAAAAAACTTGAAACCCACCACTGTGTCAGTGCCTCACCAGCCATAAACCTCACCGCACGTCACTGCACACAATATCATACAGGTTTATTGCCCATTTGTCCCTGCATCCCTCTGGCCTAGACTTTTGATGGCAGGACGCTAGCAAGACAGCTAGCCAAAATGGCAGACTTGCCATCTAGTGTGCTTTAGGGGTGAAGGTGTTGCTGGACTAGGAATGGGGGCACCCTTCATGACATAAAGTTCCAGTGAGGAAAGGGCTCTCAGTGTCAGCCCCACTGGATAGACCAGACCAAGAAATAAACTCTAAAGAAAGACACTAACACTTTTTTTATTGAGACTGAATAATAAGAAAATCTTGCAAGTCTGATTGTGTTGGACCACTCCTCCAGTGGTGTGTTCTAAAATTTACTACCGGTTCTGTGGGCGTGGCTAGTGGGCATGTGACTGAGTGGGCGTGGCCAACTTGACATCACTCATGCACTCAGTCACATGACCTCCCCACCACTACCAAGCCACACACACACTGAAACTGAAACGGCGAAATTTTTGGCAACTCCGATGGAGGGAAGGGGGTGGGGGGGAAGAGAGGGGAAAAACTCCCAAAAATAGACCGCTGGAGGATTTAGGGTGTGGAAAAGCCCTAAGTTTCCTAGAAGGAATCGAAGCATTCAACTTTGCAGCCCGGAGGCTGTGTTTATAAATCTGGTGGGCGAGTGGGAGGGGGGGAGAGAACAATGGGAAGGGTGGGAGATAGGAAAAAATTCAGGCAAAGGTGCTGGACTGGGTGAGTGGGGTGGGAGGGAAGGAGATTCACCCGACCCTGGCTTGGGATAAGGGGGAGAGGAGTAACCAGCTGCAACCCCAAAAAACACCCCCAGGTACGGCGGGGCCCGTGGGAAATTGCAGAGCCCGGATTGCACACCCGCGCTTCTGCCCTGTAGTCGCAATACTGTAGCCCAAAGGACCATAGAAAGACAATTGTATCAACAGATCCTGCACCAATCCTAACAACCCTGAAGTACTAAATGTTCTTTGTTTGTTAGATTTATTTTATATCTTTCCTCCAGAAGTCCAAGGTGGCTTCCACTATGCCCCAGCCAATTCAACCACTGCCTCTCCTTTTCAGGCAGGTATACCTCTTTCTCTTGGCAAGTTCGCCTCGGCTGGGCTGAGCTCTTGCTCGCTTTTGCCGTTCTAACATTTTGCACGTGAAAATCATAAGATAAATTCCTCTTTTCCCCTCTGGATCTCCCGCTGCCCTTCGTACATCAGTCAGTTGCACTTGTGTTGTTTTGAGACCGATCTGCCTTCCTTGGATGTTTCCCAGAGCTGATGACCTTGGGGTAGGAACTGTCTCGGGCTTCCAGATGGCACATTTGCATGCCAGATTTCCCCTCCCAAACCACCCTTACATTCAATGCCTTCCCTCCTCCCTCCTGTTATTGTTGTCCGGTTGTGAGCAGGCTGCAAATCAACCATGACATGCCGACCCTCCAGAAGGATTAATCCTATGAAGAGACAAACACAAATATTATTTGTACCCTAAGCTTTGTACACAAACATCTTATTGGGATCCTAGGGCACACCAGAAAGTAGGCTTGCTTAGAAAATAAGTCTGTATTGACCCAAATCAGTAATTCTGGCACCCTCCGGCAGCTCCATAATAAGGTCCATATATATCTCCTTCCAGGTAGCAGTGGGGCTGGCCACTATCTGTAACAATGCTGAAGCACAGAGAGATCTGCTGCCTACATAGACTTCTATGTTGTCCTGAAGGTGCTTTTTCAGGAGGCAACTGGACGTCCTTGTTTTTTCATTTGAAGACATTTTGCTTCTCCCCCAAGGAGCTTCTTCAGCTCTGACAGGATAGTGAGGAATGGAAGGATTTATATTTCTTGCCAACAGCTGTTAATCTGCATCTGGTCAGAGCTGAAAAAATTTCTTGGATTAGGCACAGGAGACATTGGACACCACAACTCTACATCTCAATGCCAGCCTAAATGAGGGCATTTCATGCACCCTAACTGCTATCACTATCAGCATTTGCAGTAATTTTCAGAGATTTTTCATGGAGGGGGATCTTGAAAATCAAGGGGAAGGCATAAGGTACAGTGTTTCCTTCCTGTTTGATTGGCAGCAACATATTTACCTGTTTGGTGCTTAGGGAAGTTTCAATCAGCTGTTACTTATTTTCATCTCTGTACCTGTTGGCACCTCTATTTGTTTGCTAATTGACACTGCACTGAAGCTTCCTACTGTTTGGAATCTCAGAAAGACAAGGCTTGGGAGAAGCACACAGCCCTCAGGATTTCTGTTAACACCTTGGTGGTAAAATTTTGGAACTCTACTCCTGCAAAATGTGGGTTTGGAAAAGCATCTTTGGGACAGCAGCTTGAGTGCTAGAATATCCAGTTTGTTCAAACATGACTTAGATGAAGAGATTGGAAGAGAACTCATCAAATTTGCAGGTGACATCCAGTTGCAGGGAACAGCCAATGCTTTAAACCAGTGATAGCGAACCTATAGCACACGTGCGCGAATGCAGAACCATGTCGGCTGGCACATGCAGCATCGCTCATTCTTCTTCTGGATTTCTAGTACACATGCACTTGTGACAATCAGCTTTTCTTAACGTGTGTGGCAGTCCCGGAAACTGGAAAAGCTGGTCTTCTGGTTTCCGTTGTCCGCATGTGCAATGGCCAGCTGATTGTTGTGCACAAATGCACGCCAGTAACTGGAAGACAAGGTGGCTGGTGAACATACGTGTGTCAAAAACAGGAAGTTCATTTCCCGGCGCTTGCATGC